AAAAAAAAAAAAAAAAAACGATGCTTTTTTCATCAACAATATGTGAATTTAAAAAACAAAATTCGAATGTTTTAACATTAGTAAAAAATGAAAACTCTTCTTCAAAAACAAATCAAAAAAAGAAAAAACACACGCATCCGTTAAGTATATTCCGATGATAATGACAATGACGACAACTGAAAGTGGTGTTCAAATTAATTATCATTTAGCAAACGTGCGCACACACACAAACACACACTAAAAAATCCGTTGACAAAAAAACTGTTAAAGACAATTAGTATGGATCAGATAAAAAGAAAAAACTAAAAATAAACGGCAACTACAATAAAAAAAGTAAAAAAAAAAAAAGAAAACAAATTAGTCTCGGCTAAGCACAAAAAAAAACCAGAAAACAGAAGAAAAAAATCTATAAGTTAAACAGTAATTTTCTTTTCTTTTGCGTGTAATACACTTTTGTAAACAAAAAGAAAATTATAAATGAATAAATTACCATCGAAAACAAACAAACAAAAAAAAAAAAATTTAGAAGAGTTTTGAATTGAACATCTAAGATAATATACAAAAAAAATCTTTTTTTCTTCTGCTGCATAAATATAACCTTATTCTCCATTCTTCTATTTTTTTTCAACCTCTCCACCTCCCTTCCCATACAATATTGACAAACCTTTGTTACAACTTCCTTCCCTCATTCCTAAATTAAAGCTTATTAATCATTAAAACAAATGTGAAATAAAACAAAATTTAAGAGGGAATAGGAACAAAGGAAAAAAAGAACGGTCATTGAAGAAGGAGAAAAAGTCAATGTAAATAAATTCCACACACAAAAGAAAAAATTTTTTTTCTTCATTCTTCTCTTCATTTTTTCCTTGTTATTAATTGAACAAAATATATCAGTGACCAAAATATCTGTCGGTATTTGATGCTGATGGCTACATATAACTACTGAAACTTCCCGGATCCAAGTTGACTGACATATAAAAGGCTACGATAACAAATCAATCAGTATCACCGACTTCTGAGACAGTTTTTTTGATTCTTAACAGTTTTTTAAACCAATACAACTAAATTTTAATATCGGTTAGCAATATTCTATATGTATCAATGAGATGCTAGGTCACTGATAAAATCTGCTATACAATTAATAACAA